TAGGGTTGCCATCTGTTTACAAAATTAAATTCAATTTGAATTAAGAAAATTAATTACGAGATATATGTTTCAACATATGGGCGCATAAAGAAAGGGGCTTCAGAAGGTAGCCGTTTGAAAATATTTTGAAGAGGGTTGCCACCTTCTTGCAATGTCGAATTTAATTAACTTATCCAGAAGTTATATTAAATGTCAAAATAATGATGTGAAACGAAAGAATTTTAAGAAGACTTTAGTTTGAACACATAAATGATTTTTGAGGTGTTTTGGGGGAGGGTTGCCACCTGTTTAAAAATTAAATTCAAATAAGTTAAATGAATTATTAAAATATGGGTATCAATCGAAGGGGGGTTGAAAAATCTTTATTTCTGAACTATATTTAGCGGAGTTGCCACTAGGGATGCAAGTTTTGGGGAGTAACATCGATACATCGATGTTTCGATGCATCGGAAAAATGAACATCGATGCTAAAATACATCGCCAGAAAAACATCGATATATCGATGGCTTCCGATGTTTCGAGATTTGTTAGAAAAATTTAATATTTTTCAATTCCAACTCTCTGTAATTCAATTATTGCCTTATTTATTTGCCATACCCTCCCTGTAAATAGAATAGAAATGCATGCCGTCGTAAGTTCGCTGAGCCTAAAGTTCCAAGGCCCAATTTCAATGAAATTTCAACGGGATCTCGGTCCTTGTTTAATGACTAAGTATGCATTTTTAATATCGAAAGATAAGAGTAAACTCAGAATTTCTGAATGTTCCTTCTAAAAGAAACAAATATAAAAATTCATGGCCAGTCAAAAAATTTTAGGAGCATAATTCGATGCTAAAACATCGCTGAAACTGGCATCGATGTATCGTCAATTTAGCGATTTTAGGAAATTGTAAACATCGATGGCAAACATCGAATTTTGAACCGATATTATCGATGTTTCAAAAATATCGATGTATCGTTTGCATCCCTAGTTGCCACATGTATAATTAATATAATTGAACTTAATTCATCAGTTGATTAAAATATGTATCGCAATGTAGAAATTTTCAAAAGGGCTTTTTGTCCAGGTCATCAGATCTGAACCATCCGTTTGATTTTCAAAAATGAGGTATCAAATTAAAGGGCTTGATATGTAGATGTGCAGTAGGTTTTTACTTTTCCGGAAAGAATGGCCACCTTTTAAAAAATCAAGTTGAGATTATTTATAAATCAATACAATCATATCCCCATCCTTCACTCGATTTTCAAAAATGAGGTGTCAAATTAAAAGGCTTGGTTGCAGATGTGCAATGAGGTTTTACTTTTTGATAAGAGTTGCCATAGGTATCAGTCGAAATGGTTATTAAAAGCTTTGCTTCTTAACTGTGAGAGCGTAGCCCCTGTTTAGAAAATCAAATTAAATTTTAAACAGAGTTTAAAAAGGTAGTAATTTGAAAATGTTTTGAAAAGGGTTGCGACCTGCTTTAAAAGCCGAATTTAGTTATATGCAGTATTAAAATATGGGTGTTAAACGAAAGAGTGCTAAGAAACCTTCAGTTTAAACATCAAAATTTTGTTTGATGGTTTGAAGAGGGTTGCCAGTTAAATAAATTACTAGGAGAGGTGATTTCATCGTTCATGGGTTTGAGGAGGATTTATATCTGAACTGTTTAGGAGAGTTGCCAGGTGATAAAAAAATTAAATTAAATTTATTTCTTCAGGTAATTGAATTATGTATCAAAGTATCAGGCGAAAGAGCTTTGAAAGATTTCAGTTTGAAAATGCTTCGACAAAGGTTGCCACCTGTTTGAAAAGCCTAATTTATTTAGCTTTTACACAATTTTAATGAAATATTAAAATATGAGTGGCAAAAGAAAGAGTTTTATTAAAACTTTAGTTTGCAAATATTTTTTGTTAGGTTTGCCATCTATTCGATTTTTATTTTGAGCGATAAAGTTTGGTAATTGTGTTATGAACTGTCTCGATGAAGTCAATTGGCCCTCTCGGGGCCGCGATTTCACGCCCTTAGACTTTTTTGTGCCATGCCGTGAAGGACCGATATAATGCAAACAATCTATTAACGATTCAGGCCTTTAAGGCGTATGTCGGGTATTTCTTACGATAGAGCCAGAAACCAACACCAAGATCTTGGAGAATTCAGTTAATAGGATGCGCTACTGCGAGGACAGTCACATGATGAAATCGGGTTCCATAACTAATGGGAATTTATGTTCTTTCGAATAAACCCATAATATACCTAAAAACTTAGTTTGAGTTAATTTTTATAAATAAATAATTTTTTTGTTATGGTCATCAGATCTTTAATGTGAAGGTCATCAGATCAGCACCGTCATTCTAAATGTGCATTAAGGTTTTATTTTTTGAAGTTACGACCTTTTTTTAGCGGTGCACGGTGGTTTGAATTTTGAGGAAATGAAAAACCGACGCCATTTGAGACCTCTCTTCGTTCAGAAAGGGATGGACGAATTTACGCAAGTCTTCAACTCCCGACGTTACAACAAATTCGTACACCTGAGGCCCTCTGCCAATGGGGTGAGAATAATTTAGAGGAAAAGAACGTGCTGTATGCGTCCAAGAGTGACTATAATGGAGTCAAGCAAAAGCTTCCGTGCGTTTTCGGACCCCATTACGCCTATTTGGGTACTTAAATTTAGCATTAAAGACAAAGACATAAGTAAAACGAAATTAAAAAATGTCAAACTCAAAACAAAAATCAAAAAGAAAAATGTTGACTTCAATTTTTTTTTTTTTTGTAAGCGTTGCACATTAATGTAAAAAACGTATAATTAAAGCTCTTAAAAGGACGGAACAAA